TGATAAAAGGGTTGGGGTAATCGAATAACTTTTTTTGTTTGACTATTTGTTATAACTATGTGTGAGTATGCTATGTAGTGCATGAAATGGTTTTCAACTAAGCATGATTTATGGTATTTTGCAAATGTTGCATAAAATGACTTTTCACTAGATAAAAGGATTGAAAATATGATTTTATATGATTGGTATATATATGTGTGTTATGTATGTGAAAACAAGTAAAGTGGTAATAAGGAACCTTAAATGGTTTGGAAAGCATGATCATAGGAGTGAGAGTTCACCCAAGTGAAGAGGTGGTAATAAGACCATATGACATATTCTCCTTAATGCTTGACAGGGTGTGGTGTTGGAGAATTATACCTTCTTAGTGCTTTTTAAAGTGCGATATTGGAGAAGATCTCCTTAGTGTCTGTTGAAGTGCAGTGTTAGAGATATCAGACTCCTTAGTATTTGTGTGATGCAGTGTTAGAGTCAACAGCACCCCCATTATGTGTATTGGGGGAAACCATAGTTCGAAAGTGAGATAGAACACTTTTGGCAAGGTGATTCTACCACTAAAGATGAGCTTAAGGCCAATGAGAGTGTACATTGGTCTATGACAAGCTTATGGTTTCAAGTTAGGGTGATTTGGAGGTTCGAACGGTAGAGATCATGCTTATTTTAGAAAAGTGGTGAAAAGCAGTGAAAGTGGTGAAATGTGCTATACTAATGTTATTTGAAATGACATATGTGATATAAGTGCTATGTTAATAAGGTTTGAATGATATATTATGCTTCACTTTCATATAATTGTATGTGATAGTCAATAAGAGTAAGTTATTCCGTTATTGAGATTTTTATCTCACCCCCGCAGTTACATTTTTATGGGGCAAAGGAAAAGAGTCTGGACTAGCTTAAGTTATTAAAGTCGTGTGAACTCAGAGTTTGTATAATGAACTGAACTAGTGTGAATTTTGTGTATATGAGTTGCCATAATATTGTATGCATATTTTGAATAGTGACTTTGTGAAATATTAGCCCAATTGTGTATATATATGATGAAATTAACCAGGGGCTAAGATTTGGGTATATATGTGTTGAAATTGTGCAATGATAATGGTGAATCTTAAGCCCATGTGTGAAATTATGATGAAATGAGTAATTTAGGGCTAAGATTGAGTTGTGATTGTGTTATGAATGTGAATATATGTGAATGTGTTGAGAAAAAGGGCCAAGTAGGCCAAGTGGTTCCATGTGATGCAAATTGTGAAAGTTTATGATCGTTGAGGGGTCAAATTTCAATATATAAGTATATATATGTTATACTGTGATCAATCAGGTGTAATAGGTCCTTTTGAACTTGATTCAAAGCCTTCTATGGTCTAATGAGACAAAGGGATCAATTTGAGTGCTTGGTGTGCAAAATTTTTAGAAAAAGTGACTTTTTGCACCTAGATATCCAAATTTTGATTAGACCGTTAGATCATATCCAAACCTATCTCATTTGTTAGCTTATGTTAAGTTTCATGTGGGCGCTTGAATCACTCCGATCGAATGTCGTATATAAAAATGGCACACACTGGGAGTTTGATTTCATTGTCAAAATAATAACAGAAATTTCAGACAAGTGTAGCGTGGCGCGACGCATGGTGTCACATGCCGCAACACATGACACAAAAAGTTAGACGTGTGGCTCTATGCCACATGCTAGGATGCATGTACTACATGCCAAGGCTCACGGCCCATATTTCAACCTGATTTCTTAGTTTTTAATGCATGAAATTGGTGAGGTGAATGTATATGATTTATTTTCACTTTGTATTGTTCTAACTATAATATGATTTTTGGTAATTTTGCAATAACATGTCTTTGACCAAAGCTTTTCAAATTACATATTTGATTATTGTGATGATTTGTGATGTGATAATTCTATTAATCTTCTCCTGTATTGAGTGAATATGGGGGAGGGTTATAAAATTGCTTCTTAGCAAATCTAATGCTATTACTCTTCATCTCTTCTTGGCCATTCATGTTTGCAACATCCTGCTCTAGATCAAGAATTTCTCTTTGAATCAATTTGGAAGCACTACAAGCTTTGGGAATTTGAGAATTAAACATAACAATGGTGTTTGTTTTTGTTCCAAGTGACAATACATGGTGAATCATGATATTGCAAAGCTTTTGGACAACTTCAATTATATTGTTCACAAATGTGATCCATATGACTTGTCTTTTTTCAGTTACTTTTCATCTTTTAATGCTTCTATTTTCTCTATAATTTCATATACTTTTATTTTATTGTTAATGCATTTGTCTTTTTTCCAAACAAAAAAAAAACATGATTAGAGCTCACTGCTAAAAAGCCAAGTGAAAGACTAGAAGTATAAACTTTTTGATAGAAAGTTTTCTCTTAATAAAGTTTGATACTTATCTTCTCAACATATTAATCACTCTATTTAACTTGCAAAAAACAATTTTTAAGGTTTGAAATCATCAAAACTATAGATGCTACTAGAATAGTATGGTAATTTGCCATGTTGAATTGCACGCTCTTGTAAATTATGGGGATATTTTCAAAATTATGAGGACTTATAACAATCAAAATGCATAATTCAATATTTCTATTTTTGGCGAACAAACGTTAATGTTTTTTTTTTCTTTCTATTTTTGTGCTAATAAGGTTTTGGGCCAATGTGTTATGATTATGATGCTAGAAATTGAACTCTATTTGTAGTCCAAGATGGAAATCATAAATATATTTTTCATAATATATTCTTCCAAATACTGTGTTAATTATTTATACTTCCTTTATAAGAACTCTCTTGAAGTGATCTTCATATTTTGCAAATTTCTCTCTTATTTTTTTGAATGTTTTGATTAATGTAAGATAATTAAAGGTCGTTTTTGAATATTATAATAATTTTTAAAAATTAATGCTCTTAATTAATTAATTATGACCAGTAAGGAAGAACGAGGAAGTATAATATTGATGATTATAACTTCTTTTTTTTTGTATTTATTGCACTATATTAAACTTGCTTGAGTACACATCCAATATTTAGGTTCCTTTACTATCCCCGTTTGGGTCTAAAATGAAGTGTCAATATAATTAAAGCCCAAAATAACAAAGAAAAATGAATAAGGAACAGTTGGCCCAATATTCAACTAAAGATAAGGCCCGATCAACCACTTAGACAAAGTTTCATGTTAAACATATACTAAAGAGTGTAGTCCTTAAGACTCGGAGAGACTAAACGTGAAAGATTATTAAGAGGACATGAGATTATTATCTAACGTGCCATGAATCTCATTAGACTGTGCATAGTGATAGCATATATTTTGCAGACATGCAACTATAAAAGGAGTCCAACTAATGAAATCAGGGAGAGAATCCACATGCATATCAAATTCCTTGTTTAGTTTCAATTCAAATTTATTTTGCATTTAGGTTTAGATCTTATTATTTCAATTTCATAGTTATAATCTTAGCAACTTTGTACTTCAAAATTAGCAATCAAACGACCTTTATATCATCATATTTGCATCCCCGCATTCAGGTGAACGGAGATAAGGAAGTCCAAAAATCCTTTTATCATTTTTGAGACTCCGCATCTTTGGTATGTCTGATAGTTGTATTGTTCAAACACAACAAACAATTTGTGTTCAACATATATGAATTTTTGGAGCTATCCCTAAGATATGGTTAAGTTATCAATTTTATTTAAAAATATAATAAATTTCTAATCTTATTTCTATTTAAATAAAAAATTTTAAAATTTATATTATATTTTTTTATAATCAACGAGTTTGAAAGAAATTAATATTAAAAAATATAATTAATATCTCGTTAATATTACTCCCTCTACAGTATAATAAATAATGTCTTCTAAAAGTCTTAATTAATTCAAAATATAGAATATTGAGTAACTTTTATAATTATTGTTCTAACTATAAGCTTCCCCCATATCCACTCGATATAAGAAAAGATTAACCAAATCAACATGTCAAACACACCAATAAGTAATTAAAGAAATTATTTGAAAAGTTTTGGTTAAAGACTTGCTTGCAAAATTATTAAAAACCATAATGCATTAGAGTAATATGCAGTGAAAATAGCTCATATACATCAACCTCAATCAATGCATGTATTTAAAATCACAATATCAAATTGAAAAATAGGCTAAGCACTGTGACGTGCAACATGTGCGCCGTGACGTGTGTTATAGAGTCACACACCCATCTGTCTGTGCCATGCACTGCGGCATGTGATACCATGCGCCACGACGCGCCAGTTGTAACCCCCTATATCCACTTAATACAGAAGAAGATTAATCGAATTACTACATCACAAATCATCACAGTAATCAAATATGTTATTAAAAGTTTTAGCCAAAGACTTGTTTTCAAAATCATCAAAAATCATAATACATCTGTATAATTGCGCAGTGAACACAACCCATAAATATTCCTATCACAATTGCATGCATTTCAAATTTCAAAAATCAGGTTGAAATATGGGTTGTGTGTCGCGCAGTGCGGTACGTGCACTGTGACATGTTACATAGAGCCATACATTCAACTTTCTATACCATGCACTGCGGCATGTGACACCATGCATTGTGACGCCCTTATCTGAAATTTCTGGTATCATTTTAACAATAAAATGACAAACTTTTAGCATGCACCGTTTTCACATATGACGTCTGATCGGAGTATTTTAAGTGCCTATATGAAGCTTAGCTCAAAAGCTAGCTAATGAGACAGGTTTGGACACAATCTAACGGTCCAATCAAAATTTAAACACCGAGGTGCAAAAGGTCATTTTTTCTAAACATTTTGTGTGCCCAAACATTTAAATTGTTCCTTTTCTTTTATTAGATCACATAAGGCCTTAAATCAAGTCCAAAAGGACCTAATACACCTGATTGATCATATTATATCAGAAACATATGCATATATTAAAATTTGACCCCTCAACAGTCAATTTTCACATTTCATAAACTTTCACAGTTTGCAAACACTTGGTACAACTTGGCTCACTTAGCCTTTTTCTCAACATAATCACATATATTCACATTTATAACATATGTATTACTCAATCTTAACATCAAATCACTCATTTTATCATAATTTCACACTTAGGCTTAAGATTCACCAATATGTACAACAAATCAACACATATACACCTAAATCTTTACTCTTGATTCATTTCATCACATATACAGATAATTGGGTTAAGATTTCACAAAGTCACTATTCAAAACATGCATGCAATCCTATGGCAACTCATATACCCATATATACCCAAGTTTTCAGTCCATTATACAATCTCAGAGACTTTCACAACAATGACACCACTATGCTGGTCCTATCTCTCTCCCCTTGCCCTGATCACTGTTTGGTCCTGTAAAAATATAACTACAGGGGTGAGATAAAAATTTTCTTAACAAAATAACTCACTCATATTGATTATCACATACAATTATATGAAGGTAAAGCATAATATAACATTTTATATAACATATCACATATTTCATTTCAAACAACACTCATCAAACATTTCATCACTTTTATACTTATTTTACCACTTTTCTCTACTTATACCACGTATAGTAGCATATTGCATCGCATAGCATGATCGCTATTGACCAAATCTTTAAATTACCCCGACATAAAACCATAGCCTCGCCATAGATCAATGTATATCTCATTGGCCTTGAGTTTACCTTTAGTGGTAGAATCACCCAACCAAAGGTGTTCTATCTCACTTTTGGACTATAGTTTTCCCCAATACATAAAATAGGATGTCGTTGACTCGAATATCGTATCACACAGAAATTAAGGAGTCCTATATCTCTAATACCATACCTTAATAGGCACTAAGGAGATTTTCTCCAATAGCGTACCTTAAAAGGTACTAAGAAGGTCCAACACTGCACCCCGTCGGACACTAAGGAGAATATGCTATATGATCTTATCATCATGTCTCAACTCGGGTGAACTCTCACCTCTATGATCATGCTTTTTGAACCATTCATAGGTTCCTATTTATCACTTTACATGTTTTCTCACTCACACACACACACATTAACATATCGTTTGAAATCAACCATTTCAATGTTTTTATTTAATTAAACGCTATTTCATACAATATTCACACAATGCCATAAAACATACTTAGTTGAAAACCATTTCATACATTACATAGCATATTCACACATAATTACAACAAATAGTCAAACAAAGAAAGTTATTTGGTTACCTCAACCTTTCTATCACTAAAAAGGTTACCCGTGGATTTCAACTACCGCAATAGCTTATCACAAGCTTCTTTCTCAATTCACACATTCAATATGCCAATGTGAACACATTTAGCACATTTTAATCAATTTTTTCCTTTTGACCAAAACACATATTTATTACTTATGGCTATATTCATCCGTAAACTCTTTTTCATTTATCCATTCTAAGTCAATTACTACTCGATTATCACATTACATCACCTCAACTGGTCTCATTTCACTCAAATCAAATTCTTACCCCTTTCTCTCTCTAACCTAGAGCCAAAATGATCCTACGGGTTTAAAGCTCTATTGTTCAGCTTTAAACTAGTCATAAAACTCCAATTTAACTTCCGAGAACCTTTTTATTACTATTAAGCAAGGATCAAACCCCAAAAAATGTCACCGATTTAATTTCTCTATAACTTATTTTCAGAGAACTTTGGATAGAATAGAAGATAAGAGTTATACATAGCTTATCCGCTAAGTTGTCGATTATAAACACCTTCCAATGACTTGAAATGGCTTGCCTTAACTGATCAACCCTTCTTCTCTCCTTCCTCTTATGTGTTTTCAATTTCTACCTTCTAAAAATTTTGAAATTTCCCGATTTAAGAAGTCATTTTTTAGTCCATGCGCCGTGGTGCATGCAGCACAAACTGCGACGCGTGTCACAATGAGATTAATTCTCACCACGTATACTTGCTTTGATCCAAAATGCAATCTTCTCACCCATATCTATTCATACAACATCCCAATGAGTCAATCTATCAAGTAACCATCCAAATCTCTAATCTCACATTAATTATCACTTTACCCTCAATTAATCGCTAACCTCAGGATTAAAAAATTTAGGATGTTACACCAGTCCAACATTTTTGCTATCATTTTGACAACAAATTGATAAACTTTCAACCTGCATCGTTTTCACATACGACATCCAATTGGAGTGATTTAAGCACTCACACGAAACTTATATCATAAGCTAGCTAATGAGACAAATTTGAGTACAATTTAATAGTTCGATCAAAATTTGGACACTCGGGTGCAAAAAGTCACTTTTTTAAAAAAATTTGCATACCCAAATGCTGAAATTGATCCGTTTCTCTAATTAGACAACACATGGTCTTGAATCAAGTCCAAAAGGACCTATTATATCTGATTAACTACAATATATCACATATACACACATATACTGTAATTTAACCCCTCAACGGCAAATTTTCACATTAATCAACTTTTCATAACTCAATACAATTTGACACCACTTGGCCATTTTCTTATCACATATCCACACATGTCACATTTACTATTCAATCTTAGCCCTAAATTACTCATTTTATCATGATTTTACACATGAGCTTAAGATTCACCAATATTCACAACATTTTCAACACATACACATTCCAATCTTAGCCCCTGATTCATTTCACCACATATACACATAATTGGGCTAATATTGTACAAAATCACTACTCAAAACATGTATGCAACCCTATGGCAACTTATATACATATAAATACACAAGTTTTCTAGTTCATTACATAAACTCTGGAATCACACGACTTTTCAAATCTAAGTCGATCCTGACTCTTTTTCCTTACCCTTATTACTATTTTGCCTTGTAAAAATGTAACCACGGGGTGAGATAAAAATCTCAGTAACAGAATAATTCACTCTTATTGACTATTACATGCAACTATATGAAAGTACAGTATAATATACCATTCAAACCTCATTAACATCACATATATAACAAGTTTCACTTAAATCACATCAATATTTCACATTTTACCTCTTTACACCATTTTTTACCACTTTACTAACAAAAGTATGATCTATATCATCCAAACCTCTAAATCACCTTGACTCGAAATCATAGGCTCACCTTAGACCAATTATAATCTCATTGGCCTTGAGTTCACCTTTAGTGGTAGAATCACCCAACCAAAGGTGTTCTATCTCACTTCTAGATTATGGTTTCTCCTACTACACACAATGAGATGTCATTAATTCCAACACTACATCACACAGACATTAAGGAGTCCCAAATCTCCAACACCGCACCTCAATAGGCATTAAGAAGATCATCTCCAACACCACACCTTAAAAGGCACTAAGGAGGTATAATTTTTCAACACCACACCCCGTCGAACACTAAGGAGAAAAAGCCATATATTCTCACCACCTCTCTACTCGGGTGAACTCTCATCCTTATGATCATGCTTTTCAAACGACATAGGTTCCTATTCATACATATATCATCATTATATAGCATATATATATGCAAAGTATAAAATCACATGTTCTTTCATATATTTGATTGAAAATCATTTTCATGCAACATTCATGCAATACTATAAAACATGCTTAGTTCAAAATACTTTCATGCACTACATAGCATACTCCTACACAGTTACAAAAATAATCAAACAAAGAAAGTTATTCGGTTACCTCAACCCTTCTGTCGCTAGAAAGGTTACCTGTGGATTTTAACCACCACTATAACTTATCACACGCTACATTTCTTAATTCACATGCTTAATATGCCAATCTGAACACAAGGTATAATTTAGTCATTTGGTCCAATTTGACTAAACACATTTACTACTTATGGCTATATTTAGCCGTATATTTTTTTTCATTTATCCATTCTAAGTCCATTACTACTCAATTACTATATTATATCACTTCAGCCGATTTCATTTTACTCAAACAAGATTTTCACCCTAAAAACCTCTTGATTTAGGGCCAAATTAAGCCTACGGGTTTAAAGCTCTATTGTTCAGCCCTAAACCAGTCACAAAACTCTAATTTAACTCCTGATAACTTTTCTATAATTGTTAGGTAAGAATCAAACTTTTAAAATTTCACCGATTCAATTTCTTTATAACTCATATTTAAAGAAATTTGGGTAGAATGGAAGGTAAGGGTTGTACATAGCTTACCCGTTAAGTTATCGATTAAAATCACCTTCCACTGAGCTAAAATGGCTTGTGCTAGCTGACCTGCCCTTCTTCTCTTTTCCCTTCATGTGTTTTCAGATTTGCCTCTTTGAAAATCACCTAAAATTTACTATTTAAGGGGTCATTTTCTGATCTATATACTGTGGCACATGCAATACAAGCTGCAGCGCTTGGCATAGTAAGAAAAATTCTCACAATACGTACTTGCTTTGACCCAAAATGCAATCCTTCCACTCATATCTATTCATACAATATCCCAATAAGTCAAATCATCAACTAACCATCCAAATCTCTAATTCCACACTAATTACCACTTTACTCTCAGTTAACAACTAATCACGGGATTAAGAAATTCAGGATGTTATGCTAACTATATCCCAATGAAATTGTGGGAGAAAGTAATTGAGCACAGGTTGAGATTGGAGACAAGTATTTCTGAGAATCAATTTGGTTTTATGCCAGGTAGATCAACTACAGAGGCAATTTATCTACTACGGGGATTAATGGAAAAGTATCGTTGTAAAGATAAAGATCTACACATGGTTTTTATTGATTTGGAAAAAGCTTATGACCATATACCAAAAGAAGTGCTTTGGAAAGCGTTGGAAAAAAAGGGAGTACGGATTGCTTATATTAAAGCCATACAAGATATGTATGAGGGGGTAAAAACTAGTATAAGAACGCCTTGTGGTCAAACAAAGGATTTTCCTATAAAGATTGGACTACATCAGGGATCATCTCTGAGTCCTTATTTGTTCAACTTGATTTTAAATGTTTTGACGGAACATATTCAAGAGGAAATCCCGAAATGTATGCTCTTCGCGGATGATATAGTTCTTATAGCAGAGACAAGAGAAGAGGTTAATTGCAAACTTGAGTTATGGAGGAGGACATTGGAGTCGAAAGGTTTTCGTCTGAGTAGAAGTAAGACGGAATATTTATATTGTAAATTTGGTAAAAGACTATTCGAAAATAATTTGAAGTGAAATTGGGAGATCAAATCATACCTCAAATGGAAAAGTTTAGATATTTGGGAGCCATTATTCAAAATGATGGCGAAATCAGTGGAGATATTTCACATAGAATTCAAGCTGGGTGGTTTAATTGGAGAAAAGCTAAAGGAGTTATTTGTGACCGTAAGGTGCCTAATAAACTTAAAGGAAAGTTTTATCGTACTGCTATCAGACCGGCAATGTTATATAGTAGTGAATGCTGGGCTCTAACGGGACAGCAAGAGCATAAAGTTGGAGTAGCAGAGATGAGAATGTTACGATGGATGTGCGGACATACACGTAAAGATAAAATTCGAAATGAGCACATACGTGAAAAAGTGAGGGTGGCACCTATTGAGGAAAAAATGGTAGAAAATCGGTTGAGATGGTTTGGGCATGTACAAAGAAGACCAAGGGAGGCACCAGTGAGAAGAGTGGAACATATAACTTTGAGTCCGATTAAGAGAGGTAGAGGAAGGCCTAAGAGAACACTCTTGGAAGTTGTTGAACGTGATCTCTTAATTAATAATATTTCTAAAAGCTTAATAAATGATAGAGCACAATGGCGTCTTGCAATCCATGTAGCCGACCCCACCTAGTGGGATAAAGGCTTGTTGTTGTTGTTGTTGTTGTTATGCTAACTATATCCATACTTTATTTATTACATTTTTTTGAAAAAATAATGTATTAAAATTTTAATTATTATTATTCAAGTATTTATATAGAGTATTTAACTAGGGTAAAGTAAAAAATATATATATAATTTTTTTTTGAAAAAATAAAAGTTTAATTAATTTTTTTGCATAAAATGTGTATTAAGTACCAATGCCCTGTGCCTTTGTTCACAGAGAGTATATGAAAAGCTCGCATATATGAGGGAGGCCTCCTAGTGAGAGAAAATTCTCTAACTTCTCTCTAGTATGAGAAGTGTTGTTTCAACTTCTTTTCTTCTATTCCTTCACTTGCTGACCTATTTCTCATCATTTTGCTACTACTCTGTTGATAGCTTTTCAAGTTAAGCTACTGAAGATACTAGTCCTTTCCTCTCTTCTAGCTTCAATCATTTTCTGCTTATACTCCTTGGTATTCCTACATCTGATTGGTTTCTTCAGCAGCAGTATTTTGATCATGATCCTTCCTATGCTGGATTTTGAGTATATCTATGTTGGCTTGCCTACTGCATCTTTGTATTTCCAGGCACTCCTCTTTTGCTTATTGGTGATGTTCTTTTATGTGCTTCTCTCTTCTTCAATGTGTTTTTGCTCATGCTCTGTCATCCTTTTTGGTTACTGGCTATCTATGGTTTTTTTCTTTGGCGTGTTTTTTTACTCTCACCGTTACTTGATGATCTTCTTTGCCTTTTAGTTTTCCTTCTATATATTAAAGGTTGCTCCTTTTAACTATCTTATGCTTTCTCGCACTTGTTCTCTTTGTTTAAGTTTATCTGCTTTCATATACAAAGCTCTTTCCTTTCTTGTTATGATCTTCTTTGCCATTGGGGTTTTTACTCCTAATTGGATGGATCGCTTGTTTCAACTGTCATTATTCCTTAATCCTGATGGATTTGGACGACCAAGTTTCTCCTTGGCCTCCTGTGCCATTGCCTTCTTGGTGGATGCTCATTCTTATTCTTCAAGAAGGTTATATAGGAAGCTTAGACTTGCTTGGAGGCTCCAGAATGATTTCAGAGTAGAAGGAAAAATTGGAAATTTCTATCTGACAAGTTTTTTAACCAAGCTGATCGTGACTTCATTGTTGATAATGGTCCTTGGTCTATTCAAGGATCTCTCTTCGTAGTTGATCACTTGTATCCCAATCTTCACCTAATGGAAATGGTTGTTGGCTGTTTTCCTATGTGGGTTCAGTTTTGGGATCTCCCATTAGAATATCACAATGAGTTGGTTGCTGAAACATGTTGGGGAAACAGTTTTTATCCATAATCATGTTAATCTGGAAAGCCACCTCAACTTTCTTCGTGCAAGGGTGATGATTAATCCAAGGATGCCTTTGATACAGAGGATTCAAGTACATCTTGAATCAGGTGATATGGTAGAGGTTGAATGTCTGTATGAGAGAATATTTTGACACTGTCATTTCTGCAGGATAATAGGACACACAATTCTGTTGCTCAAGCTTATAGTGGATTCAATATGGTTTATGATCGCACTATTAGAAGATTTGGCTCCAATTTCATGAGTTTCTTTGAAGCTGGAAACTTGGCACGTGGTTGGCAAGATTGGACCAGAAATAACCATGCTAGAAGCACCACGAGGGTTTGTTGCTTCAGAAATGGCCGTCCTGGTTACAGAATATTTGAATCAACACTTGATATCCTCTTTGTGAATGATGCGGAACAAAGCTCCTTTATTTTTCATTATGATGATGGTCACTCCTCTGATTCTGATGATACAGTGATTGTGGCTAACAGTGATGATCATAGTGAGGCTTACTTTCAACAACAGGATAATCATCCTTTCTCTACTGTGGTTCCCCCAAATGACTGGAATCAGATTAATGGTCTTGGATGAGGATTTAACTTTACTAAAGGATCAATATGGTTCCTTTTTGAACCAACCATCAAAGAATGGTATTAGTATCAATGAACCTGAACCCACTCCTTTACAGCATGTTTCTCTAAAAGGAATGAACACTTTCTCGGCTGCTCAAAATCCATTGGAGGAAGGATATCATTCTGGCTCTAAAGGCAATGCTTCAAAAAGGAAGACTTCAGAGCTTGACAAGGATCTGAATGTAGACTCCTTAAACTTGGCAACTTATCAACATGGCAATGCGGTTTTGGTTGTTGATCCTGAAAACCCTTTGATGACCCTGGGATCAAGAATTCACAAAAAAAGAAGAGTGAACATTGGTCTGGACAGCTTGAAATCTAATGTGGATGCTTTCACTAGGAGATGTTTTGTTACGCTTGGGAAGAGAGATGCACAAATTTCTGGACCCCTAATTAGTTTTGTTCCTCCTTCAAATGACCCAGCTTTTGTGCACCAATTTAAATGGTTTCTATTACAAAATAGGCCTACTTATCCAGCCGACTTGGTCAATACTTGGAGAAACAACTATGCTATTTATAAATGGTCTAAGGATGGTTTTGGTCTCTTTATTCATAGCTTTTCTGACAATCACTATAGCTGGTATTTGATTCCTACAAACTATGATTCCTTTGACAAGCTTCTCCACACTTGCAATGTCCTATATTATGCTATGAAGGATGAAGGACCCTTCGCTTTTACTCCTTCGACTGTGGTTGATAGTCCTCAATGGCTTATTTTCTTTTCTAATTTTGGTATGGCTAAAGGAATTGCAAAACCTACTATTTCTGATGACTTGTCAAGTTTCTTTCTTCCTGACTCCTCTTTGTTGGTTCATCTGACTATAATGAATAGCTCTGTTTCAAAAGAAGGGAAGGATTTGAATAGTATCAGCCATTTTGAGCTTCTTTCAACTTTTAATCTGAATGACAGACCTTTAGATGATACTCCTGATTCCTTGGGTATTGCTGCAAAAAAGAGAACTGTTGAGGATACGCTGAAGGAATCAAGTCCAGAAAAGAAGGAAAAAAAAAAAGGGAAAATCTTTCTGCTGCGGTTTATGAGGTTGGGGAAGCTGCCTCAAATCAGCTTCCCAAGATACCATGAGGTTCTTGTGTTGAACTGTCGCAGCATTAGAAAGGCTGCAGCAGTTCAAAGGCTGAGACAGTTAGTTGCTACACATTGTCCTGATTTAGTTTATTTATCTGAAACTAAAGTAGAGCTAATTGTAGCAGCAAATGTTTTAGCGTCTATGGGTTTTACTTTTTTTGAAGGCCTAAGTGCCATTAGGAAGGGAGGAGGCACTATAGTTGCCTGGAATAAGTTTATGAATGTCAATATCCTGGAATGTAACCCCTTCGTGACTCATGTATTCCTCCAAAATCATGATATCTTTAAAGGAATATATGTCTCTTTCGTTTATGGATTGCCTAAGTTACAAAATAGACATTTGTTGTGGGATTGGATTATATCAAATTCTGCTACCATTGCTGGCTCTTTCTTTTGGGTGATTTTAATCAAGTCCTAAACTTGGAGGATAAAATGAGTCGTATGTCAGGATCAAGTGGAATGGCTGATTTTAGACATTATCTCTCTGTAGCAACTTTGCAAGAAATTAGGCAATATGGGCTAGCTTTCACCTGGTCAAACATGAGGCAAGGGCTAGCAAATGTTAAGGAAAGGTTGGATCTGGCTGTCTGCAATACTGAATGGATTTCACAATTTCCTCACTCCAACGTGATTACTCTGGCTCTAGGTGCTTCAGATCATTCACCCATTCTTTTCTCTACACAAACAAATCATAAGAGAGGAAAGTTAAAAAGATTTGAATCTTTCTGGTACCAATTCAGTGAATGTAAGCAAATTATCTCACAAGCCTGGAATCAACCTTGTTCAGGCTCACCAAGCTAAAAAATGGTATGCAAGCTTAATCAAACTCTGACATCGCTTCAGAGTTGGAGTAAATCTAGAATTGGGAATTTTCGATGGCAACAGAAGGTTTTGGAAAAGGAAATTGCAGAAATATCTTGTAGGTTCTCAAATGAAGTTTCAAAAAATTAGCATCTTGATAGAATTCTAATGAATAAAAAGAATGAATTGGAATTTTTGTATGAATGTGAGAATAGTTACTGGCAACAGAGAGCTAAAATTAAGTGGAATATTGAAGGGGAGAGAAATACCAAATATTTTCATTTTGTGGTTAGTAGAAGACGAATGAGGAATTATGTCCAATCCTTGATGAAAGATGACAGTACCTGGACATATGATCAACAAGAAATAATGAGTTTGGCTTTTTCACACTTCCATGGAATTCTCACTAATGGTAATAATGCAGAATGTCAAGAAATTCTTGCTCAAATGGAGCACATTTCACTTCCACTTCTTACAAATGATGAGCATGATCTCTTGCTCAAGCCTCTTACCTTAGAGGAAACCAAGAATACGGTTTTTGGACTTCCAAAGAATAGTGCTCCTGGTCCTGATGAATTTCATTCTAGCTTTTATCAGAAGAATTGGGATCTGGTTAAAAATGATGTTTTTAATATGGTTCAATCTTTTTGGGATACAAGACATGCTTAAATCAATCAATAGATCTTACATCACCCTTATCCCTAAGGAGACAAAAATACAAGTGGTTCAATATCTTAGGCCAATCAGTTTAAGCAATGTGTCATACAAGGTAATTTCTAAGCTAATATGCAATAGGCTTAAAGGCATTCTAAATAAATGCATTGCTTCCTTTCAAAGTTCCTTTCTTAAGGGAAGGCTCATAACAGAAAATATCCTCTTGGTTGGTGATCTAATGAATACGATTCATACATCAAGGAAGGGAAGAAAAAATTTGGCAGCACTAAAAGATTTTTCAAAAGCATTTGACAGGCTTTCTTGGAGTTTTATTGAAGCAGTACTAAGAAAAATGAATTTTCCTGAGGCATGGATTAAAATGATTATGTCTTGCATTACCTCTGTATCTTATCAGATAATTCTCAATGGGCAATTCTCTTCACCTTTTTCTGCTTAATGTGGAATTAGGCAAGGTGATCCCCTCTCACCTTATCTCTATATCTTAGCTGCAAATGTATTTTCTAGCCTTATTGTGCATTCTGAAAATCTGAATGAATGGGATGGAATCAAGATTTGCAGCATTTCTAAGCCTGTTTCACACTTACTTTATGCGGATGATTCCATATTATTTTTTGAATGCAATGAAATGAGTATCCTTGCTGTTAAGAGGGTGTTGGATACCTATTGTTCTTGGTCTGGGCAGCGTATCAACAATCCTAAATCTAATATTGTTTTTATATACAAAATCAAATTTCTCAGTTTTTAGGGGTTAATATAATAGAGAGAGTAGGGAAATATCTTGGTACATGGATTGACAGTGGAAGAAATAAGGAGCAGATTTACAACGAAATTGTTGACTCAGTCCAAAGAAGGATTAGCTCTTGGAAAGGAAAATTACTCTCCCAAGCATCAAGATTGACATTGGTTAAATCTGTACTATCCTCTGCAAATATTTACCACCTCTCTTGTTTCAAGCTCTCCTTGAAATATTGCAAGGTCATTGATTCTATGTGCATAGATTTCTTTTGGGGAAACAATGATGGTAGGAAGAGAATGCACCTAATTCAGAAGGAAGCTTTGTTCATTTCAAGAAAAGCTGGTGGACTTAGATTAAGGCCGACTCATCAGGTAAACATGTCTCTTTTGGCCAAGCAGTTCTGGAGAATTTTAGATTCTCCTAAAGGAACTTTACTAGGTGAAACATTGAGAAAAATCTTTTGATATGAGTAAATCTTCAATTTTAAGGTTCCATACAACTCATGGTTCTGTAAAGGCATTAAAGATAGTGCTCTTTTAATCATACCTAAGCTAAAATGAAGAGCTGGGAGTGGAAATCACATACCAATTGATCATCCTCTTTGGTGGCCTAGAAATCACAGAGCCTCTATAACATCCCCTATTGTTTTCATCTGTAGCAGATTTAATCTCTGTAAACAATAACCCATGGGAGCCATCAATTTGGAATAAAAACAAGCTAAAGGAACTTTATGAAGAATCAATGTGGAAGGAAATTACCAAACTTCATATATCCTTTACAGGATTACCTGATAAGATAATTTGGGATGGAAATCAGAGTGGTGCATATACATCGAAGGATGGATTTAGGATTCAAATGCAGGCAGAAATTCGAGGAAGGTATTACAGCATGAAATCTGGTCTTCTTTGTGGAATATCAATTGTCCTCCAAAACTCTACTTCTAATATGGAAAATTGTCAATAAATCAATTCCAGTGGGGGAAATACTTAAAGAGCATCACTTAATTAACAATATTCAGTGCCTCTTTGGTTGCGATTGTGAGGAAACTCTTAATTATATATTTCTTCATTGCCTGATCTCTAAGGCAATATGGTTTGGTGCTCTTAATATTAGATCTTGTGATGCTCAAGCTCTCGAGATTAGAATGTGGATTCCTCAAATTTTTTCACAGCTTTTCAAGGATAAGAAACTGGATGTCATAAGAGATATTATTCTCCTAATCAATTTTCTATGGCGATAGCGAAATCATTGTTCTTACAAGGATGCAAAAATTAATCCCATGCAAATGATTCGAGAGTTTCAAGGAGAATTAACCTATCAGAGAACTATCAGATATTTAGATGATATTGATCCCCCAACGGATCCTACTTCTGGAGTTCAATTAGATAATCCTAATATGGAAGAAATCCTTGCTCAAGTATGGTCGATCTGTTGTGCTAAGAAGAAACTCAAAAAGGAAAAGAAATGGATTATTTTAAAAATGCTTTTCGGAGAGCTTTTGCAAGTGTTTGGGAGAAACTCAACACCAGATCAAAGTGGCAATACTAACCTTTTCCTAATTTTGAGAGCTGGCCTTCATGGATTAGACTATACTCAGAGGACTAGAACTTGAGGCAGCTTCCCATCAGTATCATAGGTTACCGAAAAAATTTTCTTAGAACACAGTGATTATTGAATGAAAGAGAAGGATTAGATGTGTTGCAGAGAGATCTTCTGGAATGCTTTCCTGCTCGTTATTTCTTTGCTTGCGAATCTGAATGTTTCTTTCGGTTTTTTTTTTTTTTTTTTCCTTACCAGGGGTATTGTAATTGTTTTTTAGGTGTAGGTGGACTCTTTTTACTTAATTTTAATATATATAAATTTGACTTGACTTCAAAAAAAAAGTTCACAGAGAGAGTATATGCGTATTCATTCACCCAAAAAAAAGAGAGAGAGAGAGAGAGAGAGAGCGCGAGTACATACGTATTGTCATGTGATACGGACAAGGGGTAGCCTGAGATACGGGAAAGCAGAAACGCTGACCTACACTCTGACCTTTCAGCTGATGTATTGAAATTTTTTGGTGGAAGGTGTTAACCACAAAATCAATGATCCACAAGACAAGGTTACCAGTAGATGAAAACGATAGAGATATAAAGAGCGCATCATGACGTTGTGGATAGATTTGATAAGCATTTAATATTCGCCAAAATCAGTTGGGTTTTGTGTTGTATATCGCATAATTTCAATTATTTTTGCATTTATGGCCAACGACTTCGCTCGCATTTACTCTATTTTTTCTTCAACACTCTCTCAGTCTTTAGACCAGCTGAGGAAAAAGACAAAGAGCAAAGAAAGATTCTGGGCAATTTTAGCTGTAGAAGAAGAAGAGACGCAATGCAATGGGGTGCCTTCGCTTTCCACAAGCTTTTCAGGTCTTCAAAATCTTAGCTTCAGATTTCGCTGCGAAGTTACTCCTGGATTCAACAACATAGGTTGCAAATATGGGTAATCGATTTATTTGCATGACGAAGAAACATGCCAAAGATGCGGGATCCAGAAGCAAGAGAATGAGTCGATCACAGAGGAAGCTGTTGGCTGAGGAAGAGTATTTGCATCGCCACGCTCTGTCTATGGCACTTCAACAGCATCAATTGTCTCAGAGGTTTGAAGGGTCAATGTCGCGAAGATTGGATCCACAAGCTCTCGAAGACGCAATCTTCCCGATTCGGTCACCAATAATAAACAGGTGCGGGGACCAGATTGATAGTTTTACTATATTTTGTGGGTTATTGCGATTTTTTTAAAAATATTTTTCAATTATTTGATCGGTGGGGAAAAGTGGGAGGTACTGATGATGGAGTTTTAGTATTTGGGCATATGGCAGTGGAAGATGCTAGCAGTTAGTAGGAGAAAGGCTTTTAGTCAAAAGTCCAAGCCAAGTCTGAAAAAGTGCATGAAGGTGCGCATAGAAAAACGCATGCACTTTTTCTTTCTTTTCAGGCCCTAAAAGGTGCGTCGTGAGAGTATGGGGATTTTTTTTTTTTTTTTTTGGGGGGTTTTGGGGGGGGGGGTGGGGAACGGAAAAGTACGAGGGTTGATTCAATTACAAGCTGATGCAATTTTTAAAGTGAATGATACCAACGGCACAAACAGGACTAACATTTCACCTAACCATCCCTTTGCTATTGGATCTGACTCGCTTCTGGTTGTGTTTCTGTGACGGTAGTGTTTGTAAAAGTTTGACACAAAATCCTTGTTATATAATATGGGGTTTAATCGTTTTGAAGGTGCTGAAAGCCGTTGCTAACATATTTCGTGTATTGTATATTCAATCACTGTCAACCAGTATAAAAAATTTGCTAGCAAATCTTTCCATTGTATAGGGAAGTCGAGAATACTTGCCTTATCGTTAAGTGATCTGTTCATGTAATCAAGATCTGAGATGATGGTGCATAGTTCTGCAAGATTTGATGCCAGTGACTTTCTTTGTGACATGATGCTAAATATTCTAGTATACGCATATTTAGATGTTTGGAGAACATATGTTTAGCGAAGAACTGTATATTTTTTGCAATATTGTTCTTTAACAAAAATACAAGTGGAATTTTATAGCTTTGAGTTACATAATTGGATCTTTTTTTTTTTTTTTTTTAAAGGTTCTCCTTTATTCCTGATGGCAAACAAGTAAAGAATCTTACCCGAGTTTAGTTCACTTCATCTCTATATCTGTGCTTTGAATGTGTTCTTGCACATAGATTGACAAACTTAGGGATGCCTCATTAATTATTTATTGGGATCACAATGCAGTAGTGATCCTTTGATCAAGCATGTTATGATTTTCTTTTAATGTTCTAGATTTCTTGTCAGCTTAATGTTTTTGAAATAATTGTGGTGACCTGCCTTTCTATGAGTCTCTTTTATTGCCACATCTTCAACTAGATTGTGACATAATCTTTTATGCTATATGTTCTACAGGATCCGGAAATTCTGGAGAACATAAAAATAAAGAAATTTGTTTTAATCCATGGAGAAGGTTTTGGTGCTTGGTGTTGGTACAAGACTGTAGCCCTTCTTGAAGAAACAGGATTGTTTCCAGTAGCACTTGATCTCAAGGGTTCTGGAATTGATCTTACAGATATTAACAAGGTTACTACATTGGCAGAGTATTCAAAATCTTTAGCTGATTATCTTGAAAACCTTCCTGAGGATGAAAAGGTTAAAAACTTCACATTACATTCTAAAATTCATGCAACTTGAAGCACTGTCACCTTGTTGTCCTGCAGTCAGTTATATTTCTTGAAAATGAGGATTTTGCAGGTCATTCTTGTTGGTCATAGCATTGGTGGTGCTTGCATTTCTTACGCAATGGAACACTACTCACAGAAGATCTCGAAAGCAATTTTCCTCTGTGCTACGATGGTGACTGATGGCCAAAAGCCATTTGATGTTTTTGCTGATCAGGTATCTAGTCAGTGTTTACTTGTATATGTTCCCAGTTAAGCTTTTTGACATTCAAGTATGATTATGCATCCTGAAAGATCTCAATGATGTGGATGCCAACTAAATTTTCTCGTGCCCTTCATTTCCCCTCTTGTGCTGTGCAAGCTCCACTAACATATTGTTCCACAGGGAAAAATCTATGATGACAATCGACAACCAATATGCGTTACTTCATTTTATGATATGCTGCTTGAAATTTATTAAATGATTAATTATATTTGTAGAACACAATTTCTACGGATCAATTTTAACGTGAAATTCACCCTTCTTGTGAATTGTAGAATTTGCTTGCTTTTAATGCTTTCTGTGTTCAATGTTCAACAAAAACAGAAATTGTAGAGAATGCCATGTTTCAGTTACTGTTGTCCTACTCATTCTTAGGAAATAGAGTCCACCTTTTAGAATATTTAGAAACAGAGTGATATTTTTGTAATTCTACCTATATAACCATGTACATTATTAGACATACTAAAACTGAGGATGAAAATTGTTTCCAGAAAATGAAAGTAAAGCATAAATTGTAGTATTTTTCTCCAATCCCGATAACAGAACATGTATTGTTGCTTTAACTGCAACATTGCCAACTTCATTGACCATGGTCTTGTAATGTGAGAGATAATGGAATGTTTTCTCTTAGTTCCTAGAAGACCACATTAGAGGAGGCAGTCTGACGGTTTCTTATGATATATTTTAGGGAAACTAATCTTTTAGAGTTTTAGTCCTTGAAGTTTTGACTTGCTTAAATCTTTGCCCCTCAATATTTGGAGCAACTCAGTCCTTGGACTTTTGACTCACCTGAAACCTAGTCCCCAACTTTCCCACCACCATCCATTATTCATTATGAGTCAGCACTGAGTCATTCCCTACATGGCAAAAAGTGTCAATGACACTGTTAAAAAAAAAAAAATTGTCAAGGCAACGATGAATCTGACCAGTAACAACAATTATTAAAGGAATTCAGAGCAGTGAAAGGCCACCTTTGAAGTTAGAAGAGATTATTGTTCATACTATCAAAAGATGTAGTAGGTAGAGAGGCACTTTCTCGCCTTTGCAGATTCAGTTTAAGCAGGATGAGTTGTGCTTTAGCAGTTTAATTATTAATGGTTGACTTTAATAGAGCTAAGAAGGAGAATTCATCACCAAAAAGTCCTGGGCTTGTAGGTCCCATACTGATGAAGGTAGTGGTGCTGGTGAACCAAGCTAGGTTTTCTGTTCTGGCATCTCAAGCCTGCAGTGGTGTTGATGAGGCTCTTTCCAGCTTTATTTGGAAGAGCACATGTGAGTTGCAGGTCACTGTCATTCCAGCTCTATTTGGATTTTTGAAGTAAAGGAAATCACCTTGGAAGGTTATGTTATTCAGTTAATGTGGGTGGAAGGTGAGAAATTCCGAACTTGAAGGAAGCTGAATTTAGTCCCTGTTTTATCTTTTTTAGTTTTATGTAAAATCCACATGGAGCTCTTTTGGAAGCTATGTAAACATTTTTTAACAATATTATTAACATTTTCGCCATGTAGGATGAGTTGTTGCTGACTTATGATGAGTTATGGATGCTAAAGATAAAATTATAAATGGTGGTAAGATTAAGGACTAAGTTTCAGGCGGCTTAAAAGTTTAGAGATTGAGTTGTGCTGAGTTATAGTTGAGGAATTGAGTTTTAAGTGAGTCAAAATTTCAGGGATCAAAAAATTAATTTTCCCGATATTTTTTTATTCCCATGGAAGAACTATTTTCTTCATTTCATGTTGTATTTCATTTTCACATAACAGATTGATTATTGTTCTCAAAGATGATTGCATTGCAGCTTGGATCTGCTGAACGATTTATGCAAGAATCAAAGTTTTTGATCCATGGGAGTGGAAAAGAAAAGCCCCCAACAGGATTTATGTTTGAGAAAGAGCTGATGAAAGGGTTATATTTTAACCAATCCCCAACTAAGGTATGCAGGATAACTTTTTCTTGCTAGTTTGTTTGCTGCACTTCAATCATTCAATTTAACTTTGTTGCCCAAACCTGCACTTCTTGCATAATCAAATCTTGGAACTAAAGGCCTTTTGTTTCTCCATTCCTGTATATTTCTAATAATGCCCTTGTCTATTAGGTTGTTGACACTGTGTGGCCCTGCAAAAATCTACTTTACCTCTCCTTATGGAATGCTCTGTTAACTTATTGCTACGTTGAGTTATCCTCTGTCGAAAAATGCTTCAAATACTTATGTAAATTGCAAACAGGCAAACTGCAATTGAGTGAAATCATAAGTAAGCAAAGCTCTCATGGTTACATTTGGTAGGCTGGAAAAATTTTCAAGTGAAAAGTATAATGAAACGAAAATAATGATAAAAAAGTCATATTTTATATTGATTGATATGAAAAATAATACTCCCTCTATTTAGTATTATATAAGGAACTTTTTTTGAAATAACGTCTTAAAAAATACGAGACATTTTGAATCTTTTGAGTTGTAATTAATATAACTTTTTCAAATATGCTTTTAATTAGGAGTGTAATTAATTCTAATTGAGACAACTTAATATATAAGGGTAGTCATGGAAAGAATGCGTGATTTTAAATGACATTAACTTGCTTATTAAATGTGTAAATTAGTTAAAAGTGTTTTATAATACTAACAAAGGGAGTACTTCTCCAAATGCTGTTTGATAGGGTAGAAATAAAAGAGAAATGAAAGAAACTAAAGGGGAAAAGACAGAAATACCATTGGGATCAGCCCATAACTTGTTGATTACTGCCCATCAATCTATTGTTATAAAACTTTAATGATCACTTTATATTGGCCATTCTCTATTCCCCATAAATGTTACAAAATCAAATGTATTTTCTACAAAAGAACATCTAAAACTTCGAAAATTATTTGGGTTTTCTGTGCGGACAAATATTTTCATTAGGTGAATGTCTCTGATATTTTAGTTTTTCCCCATCTGAATTAATGTCTTCTATCTTTTCTTCTTGGTAGGGCAGGGATTACTTATCTCCAAAAAATTTGTCTAGCTAATACCTCAACATGTTAGAGAAAACATAACACATTCAGTAAACCATGACCATAAATTCTGGGATTCAAGATTCAGTGTGTTCGAAAATATTCTTCATAACATGGTGAACTCTAAATGTGGTGCAGCTTGGAATTGTCTAATGTAATAAATTTATACAATTTACTCTAACCATTTCAGCTAGTATTGCTTCTTGTATTCATTTTCAGCAAAAACCTTGTAATTATACTCATTTTTGCTTCATAAGTTTTATGCATAACTGGTCCAAAAGTATTGCAAACCAAGTCAATCACGAATTGACATATAAGATGACAAACACTTTTTAGAGAATCCACTTCAAAACATGCTCGTCTTTTGATTATTTTCTTAGCTTATGTACTTTTTTGGTAGGCAGAATCACGTTAAGAATTTATTGGGACGATAAAACTTGACATAGGTATATTTCAGGATGTTGCATTGGCCATGGCTTCCATGAGACCTAGTCCACTTGGTCCACTCATGGAGAAGCTGTGTTTGTCACCAGAGAAATACGGTTCGGGCCGGCGGTTTTATGTTCAAACACTGGATGATCACGCGCTTTCACCAGATGTTCAAGAGAAGCTAGTTAGGGAAAACCCCCCAGAAGGAGTCTTCAAAATCAAAGGCAGTGACCACTGTCCATTCTTCTCTAAGCCACAATCCCTCCACAAAATTTTGGTGGAAATAGCTCAAATTCCTTAGAGTAATGTTCAAAACATGTTACTTGCACTCCTATATGTACATTACATGGCTCTGCATATTCACTATTATATTTGTATTTAGTACACGGAAGCTCAACTGGGTGTTGTATTTTTATTTATTTATTTATTTTTATCTTCAAATAGAATACAGGAAGGAGGATGAATTTGTTTCTTGGTTAAAAGGCCCCGGATTCATCTTTTTATTGTTAGTTGACTACATGGCTCTGCATAATGTGAATAGTAATCGTTGTTCCCTTGAGTTTATTTAATTTAGAGAATAGAAGAAAGGAGATTTCTCTCCATTCATTTGAAAGTAGATTTTGATTTTAACTTTGATACTAATTTTAATGCACGCAATTAATGCATCTGAATGTGTGAATGGTTAAAGCAGGACGTTTTGCTACTACTCTCGTGACACAGTTTTCTTCAATTTGATGTTGGTTAAAAACAAAAGATAATGTTGATATTAATGGTGCAGTAATCATTATAAACAATTAACAATATATAATTTAAAATCTGCGACAAATCTGATCGTCCATAAGCGAAATCAAGAATACAGCAATTCATTTATTATAACGTGTCTTATGCATGATAATATGTCTGTCAACTATTATTGGAAAAGTGAAAAAGAAGAGTCAGAAAAAATTGATATTGAAGGACCACAACTTAGTGAAATTACAAAGAAGACTCCATGTTTAAATAAAATGGACAAAATTGACGACTTTGTGCATAGCAAATGACTCAAATACAAATTTCGAAGTGTAGTTGTAAACTTGGACACCTCCAATATAAATGTTTAATACTAGTGAAAGTAACTAATGCATCTTAGTAGGATGTTTTATTATCTTGAAAAAAAAATTAATCTACAAATCTTTATTATTTCACTTCATTTTCAATCAAGTTCTGATACTTTTTTTCTTTTTTTTTTATTGGATTCTTATAGTTTCCTCAATTATAAGTATTGGTTCCTGTGCTCATCATTCTATAATTTGTAATAGTATCTATTTGGATAAAGTAATTTGTAACTATATTTTTATTCAATAGATAATATATAAAAATTATATAAATGATATATTAAAATTAAATTTTATCATATATAAATATTTTTATAAATATTAAGTTTATTATTGTTTATATAAAATTAACTATTTTTTCCTTCTCTCTATTTTCTCTTTCTCAACCAAGGGCAAGGAGAGGGAGAGAAAATCACATCCCTTCATATTTATCTTCTCTTTATTGTCTCTCCTCTTTTTTTTTTCACTCACTCTCTCTCTCTCTCTCTCTCTGTCTCTCTGTTATTATTGTTATTTTTCTTTTTTGTCAACCATGCACGGCATTAGATTTTGATAGCGGAACTTGTAGGCATGGCATTTATGGAGTAGTAGCAATGTGGGTTCTCTTCCTAACGTTCCTCCCCACCCACCCCCCCTAGGGCAAGTGGTCCTCATATTCAGCTTGTGCTAAATCTACCTTTTGTGGTGCTTCATTGTTTTTTTTTTTTTTGGGCCCCCACTTTTGCTCCTTTTCTGTCCCTATACTCATTCTTTAATCATTACTGTCATCTTTTTGCCTCACCAAATATGGAATGGAGAGCCCACGGTAGAGCTTAGACCATCAAAGGGTTTTAGGCAAGGTGATCTGCTATCTCTGTACATAATCACGTTATGTATGAAAAAGTTGAGTCATATTAAGGGTGGTCTTTCATTATTACACGTGTTCTTTGCAGATGACTTAGTGCTATTTGGTGAAGCCTCTTGGCAACATATGCAAGTGATGAATAATTGTATTACTAGGTTCTGTGCAACATTAGGGCAAAAGATGAACAAAGAGAAAACCAAGCTTTTTGTCTCAACTAATGTACATCAGAACAGATCATTAGAGTTCAGCAAATACCTGGGAGTGGGGCTTATGGGAGACTTGGGCAAATATATGGGCATTCCCCTCATCCATAAGAAGGTCACCAATAGTTTGTTCAATCCCATTATGGCTAAAGCTGGGAAGCGAATGACAAATCTAGAAGAAACGATATCTCACTCTAGCAGGAAGATCAGTGTTGATTAAATCAGTTCTCTTAGTTCTACCAAGCTACTATATGCAGACTATCCTCCTTGTCTCGGGTATTATTAATGATTTGGGAAAGGCTATCAGGGAGTTCTTGTGGGGCAACACCCAAGGAGCAATGAAGATACCTCTTATAGCATGGGAAGACATCCAAAAGCTAAAGGAACATGAAGGATTGGCATTGAGAAATATGAAAAAACAAGGATTTTATTTGGAAACTTTGCTAGGGTTTGATTATTAAACCTAAAGGATTATGGGTTCAAGTTCTGAGGACAAAATATAAATGTAGAGGAACGTGATGCCCAAAATTAAGCAAAGAACAAGAACCTCGATCACATGGAGAAGCATCACCTAAGTTCAGAAATCTTTTCAACAAGGTTTGGGGAAACATGTTATTTCAGAAACCAGACTTCCTTTTGTTTTGATTAGTGTCTCCCCAACAAACAACCCATCATTAATTTGGTGCAATCGAGTAAAGAATTCATTGATATAAATGAATCTATTAAAGATTATGTTCTCCCTTCAGGAGGTTGAGATGTTTTCAAATTGTTACTTTGGTTACTAAAGGATGTGGTGGATCTCATTTCTAGCATCATAGCTTCGAGTGAGGAGAGATGAGAGGATAAATACGCTTGGTTTTTTCTATTGATGGAAATTTTTCTATGAAATCTAGATACCTATCTCTTCTTACAAGTGAAGGAGCTAACAGAGAATCAATTTGGCTGGATATTTGGAGATGAAAGATTCTAGAGAAGATAAAAACACTCTTTTGGCAAATGGTGCACAACAAAGTTGATACAGCAGATTTTTAAGGGGGGGAGAGGATTAACTATCACCAAACCATGCCCATTCAAATGCATGAAGTTGAAGATACAATGCAACTTTTTCATGACTGTTGTCATGCTAAGAGTTAGTAGAGAGAATATGTTCTCATGTATGTGTTAGATCATGTGTTTATCATTACAAAACCAAAAGAGGAGGTGTTTGTCATATGTGCAGATATATAAAGAGTCATAAATGAAGACAAAACTTCAAGAGCATGAAAAATCAAGAGAAGATGAAGATTTATAGGTTAAATTATTTAATTCTCTTAGATTTAATGTGAAAACTTTGAAAGCTTAATTACAAATTATTTTCCTTGAAATGAATGCATAAGTCTTTGCTCATAAGTCTCATTTATGCATCCTAAAGCTCATCTTAGTATATTCAAACTTATGAGTTATGTCATTTTAGCTTGTATTGGATCATAAAAGTTGTGCTTTTTATTGTTTGATGATTCACGCATGATTCAGATTGGTCGCACGTGTGATTTGTCATGATAGGAACACCAACTAACATTCAACACCTAAATCAAGAGTGATTCACACGTGATTTGTTACTTATATTTGTGTAATGCCTTGACATTGCTTCTGTGTTCCATTTCACATAAGCTACCCTTGGGTACATGTAACCTTCCCCTATATCAACCAGATACAGGAGAAGATTAACTTAATCACCACACTAAAAACACCAAATAGTAATTAATTACTTTTTTTTGAAAAGTTTGGGCCCAAGAGATGGTTTGCAAAACTATCAAAATCATATGACTTCAAAGTATTACACAGGGGGATCAAGTCATATGCATTCATAACAATCACTGCATGCATTAAAACTACAAAATTAGGTTAGGTTATGAGCCATGCGCCATGGTGGATAAGACTTGTGCTATAGCATATGGTACAAAACTACATTTCTAGACCTTCTCTGTGTCATGCACCATGGCATGACACACCATGCACTGTGGCACACATGGCTAATTCTACAACTGTCATTTGACAGCTCAAATGATCAACTTTCGATGTGTGCCATTTTCACATACGATGTCTGATTAGAGTGATTCAAGTGCCCACATGAAACTTATCTCATAACTAACTAATGAGATAGGTTTTGACATAATCTAATAGTCCAATCTAAATTTAGACACTCGGGTACAAAAAGTCACTTTTTCTAAAAAATTTGCATGCCCACGTGCTTAAATCAAGCCCTCAGTCTCATTAGACCATTTTAGGCCTTGAATTAAGTCCAAAAAGACCTAATACACCTAATTGACCAAGTTACATAGTAAATACACACATATACTACAATTTGGCCGCTCAATGGCCCATTTCCACAAATATAAAGTTTCATCACATAGTGCAATAATGTACTTTAGGCCACAATCTCCATAACTTCTCAACAAATTCACTTCATTTTCGCCACTAGAATATTTAGAACATGTACTCAACTAAATATTTGTCTATGTTACTTATTTCACCACGTATTCACACATATAGGATAAGAATTATACAAATTCATTACAATTTCAATAGTTCACAACTCAAAACATGCATGCAAGTCCTATAGCAACTTATATACATATTATCCACATTAAATCTTAGTTTATTACACAAATTTAGAGCTTTCCACGACAACGGCACCTCTATACCAGTCCAAACTCTTTCCTTTTGCTCGGCTCACTGCTCTATCCTATCCAAATGTAACCATGAGGTTGAGATAATAATCTCAATAATAGAATAACTCACTACTGTCAACTATCACATGCAATTATATGAAAGCATAGCATAATATACAAGTAAACATAGCAAATAATATATGTTTTATTTTAAATCATGTTAATGGATCATTTCACCTCTTTTACAGTTTATTCACTACAATTCACCACTTTTCTTCACTTTTCTCACATATAGCATGATCATTACTAGCCGAACCTCCAAATCACCTCGACTTGAAATTATAGGCTCGTCTTAGACCAATATACAATCTCATTAGCTCTGAGCTCACCTTTAATGGTAGAATCACTAGGCCAAAGGTGTTCTATTTCACTTCTAGACTATGGTTTTCCCTAATACACATAAATAGGGTGTCATTGACTCCAACTCTACATCACATTGATACTAAGGAGTCTAAATCTCCAACACCATACTTCAATAGGCATTAAGGAGATAATCTCCAACACCGCATCTTGAAAGACACTAAGGAGATGTAATTCTCCAACACTGCATCTTATTGGGCACTAAGGAGAATAATGCCATATGGTCTTATCACTACATTTCTACACAGGTGAACTTTCACCTGTATGATCATGCTTTCAAACCAATTATAGGTTCCCAATTACCACCATATGCATACACACACACACACACACAAATATAAA